AAAATCCTCCATGCGGCCGCCATTTTCGCTGCCCGGTAAGCAAGGAAAGGGAGCGAAAACACTGTGGGCAGCCATTCTTTTTTCCGGTGGCCATTTTCAAACCGCCGATTAGCTGTTTTCAAAACATCGTTATATGATAATCGGTAAGTGAAATGCTTACCCATCATCGCAAAGTTATTTTTACCCATTAAAACATCGTTATGCGGTCGCTTTTGCATTGCAAAAACCTCATCGCTATGCGGATTTGACATTAAACGAATCACTCGTTATGCAGGGCACCACTGTATTTCTAGCATTTTTCTTTTAATATTTTTAATATTTTCAGACTGTGGAGTAGTGAATTGGTGGGAACTGATCCCATGGATATCGCAGTCCTACTGTATCAGCAAAGCTCTCCTCTGGCAGCATTTCCCCAAAGAAATTGATTTTTCACCCTCTTGGCCTTCTTCCAGTAGACTCAGGAGAAGAACTCCAGATTGCTTCAAACATGTTGGGCTTGAGCCAGTGAATGAGTTGTGGGTCAGTCCTGTCCTCCTTGGATTGTCATGCCTCTAGGATAAATACTGCAGATTTGGTGTGTGGAGTCGGTAGTTAAACCTTAGAGAACATGGGCAAGCAAAGATGCCAAACAATATCCTGTTACTGTAGAGCCTTGGAAAGTGTATATAAGCCTTTCTTTACTCTTTGAGGTGTGAATGTGAAGTGAAGTTTTCCTGTTACATTTTTAAGTGTTCCTCAGGATGTGCAACACCAGCTGCGGCTGATGGGAGCTGTCTTCCGATAATAGGGAATCCTAAGATAATGGAGCTGAAAAAGGGTCTCGAAGGCCATTGAGTCTAACCTCCTGCTCAAGGCAGGAGTCCAAGTCAAAAGATATCAGCCAAGCGGTTGTCTGAATCTTCTCTTGAAACCCTCCAGCGTTGGAGCGCTCACCGCCTGCCAAGTTCATGGGTTCCTTCGTTGTACTTCTCTAACAGTTAGGGAGTTTTTTCCTGATATTCAGCCTAAATCTGGCCTCCTGTACCTTGAGCCCATCATTACACATCCTGCACTCTGGGATGATCGAGAACAGATCATAGAGTCAGAGAATCGTCATAGGGTTGGGAAGGGATCTTGGAGGTCTTCTAGTCCAACCTTCTGCCCAAGGCAGGAGGCCTCCAGCCATCCCGGACAGATGGCCGTCCAATCCGTTCCCCTCCTCTGCAGTGCCACACATTTTAGCTGGATATTCCTGGCCTTTTCTACTTAGTGATATACATCAGGGGCAGAGTGGAGGTTATGAGATCCCGACAAGAGGCAAAGGCCTCGGGTTGAGGAGAAAGAAACCCGAGGGCACCCAGTATTCCCCGGGCAGGGTGTTCTGGGAGTGTGGGAAGCAGGAGAGAGAGAGAGAGAGAGAG